AACTTCATGATAGAATTGGAAATTATTTACAAATAACCATAAAGTAAATAAATTGATTTATTTCTATCGTTACTGATAAAACTACTAAACTACATTCCGATACATAATTGCCTGTGGGCAAAATTATGACCGTAGTCCAGTATTTCATCCTGATTAATCATACAAATATAACGAAATTGCCTGTGGGCTAAATTTCATTATATTACATACAATTAATCACAAATGATATGTCCAAAACTTTATGTGATCAAAATAAACCGCTTAATATATAATTTTAACAGATTAAGGATGTTGTGGCTACTCCAAAACCAAATTAAAATTATAAGATCACTAGACAATTATCAAATTCTTGCCTAAACTTTATGTGATTAAAACTTAATAATCTTAGGTAGCTGAATATGCTGTAGCATTTCCTTAATTAACCAAGATTGAAAACTCAAGATATTTCAGTAAATTAAAGATGCTTTGGCTATTCTTTAATAAACCGAAATAAAATCACATTGGCAATGAATACTTAAAAATTTGACAAACAGATTATACCAAATTGTGATGGGAAAAACTGAATATACTCCTAGGAAAGGTGGTTAGAGACTAAGTCTCACTGAAAACCAATTCCTTAAATAGAGTATCAATTTAAGGAGACTAGTGGCTCAAGATGTTCTTAACTCATGGCCATTAAAACTAGTATGTCTCCCCGATTCATATATACTTAATGTATAACTGTTTGGGGGTATGAACCTAAAACTGTAGGGTATACACCAGAAAACTGTAGGGTTCACCTATGATTAAAGCTTAAATGGTGAACTAAAAATAGCGGACTAAACGTGCTTAAATTTAGGCACTACCGCGACTAAAGTTTATGCATAAGTCCAACTTAAATAGGAACTAATATAATTCCATCTCAAAGTATGCATTGCTAAAGGCATAATAAAATTGCATAATTTAAAACAGAATATTATGCTTAGGACAAATATGCATAAAATTAAATATTAAACTCATATGCTCCAAATAAATTGCATAACTTAAAGCAATTTACAATATGAGATTTTAAAGTATAAACTTAATATTCAAACATCGATGAGTTCAAACCAAAAGAGACCCAACATTTTGAATAATAATATACTGAATATATACTTTGAATTTTTTTAAACTGTAAGCCCATGATAAAATGTTTTAATGCATAAAGATCAGATTCATGAGATATAACTGAATTTACAAATTCAAACAATATCAAACCAAAAGGATATGCTAGCATTTGTAAATTAAAATCTCACAAACCCTAATTGCATAATTAAACTTAATATTATGCACTTAATGTGATCGAATGCATAAAACAATCTAGAAAGTATGAACCAACTAAAGAATATGAATTTATACCAAATATTCATACTTAACCAAATAAGGACAATCAGAACTAAAATCATAATTCCAAGAACTAAATGAATTATGGAATTAATGGCAAAAGTCAATTGCCTAGAAAATATGATTTTCCAAAATTACTAAATTGATTCAAAATCACTCTCCATAACTCAGTTAATAATAATATTATTATTATTAATGGCAAAATTGCAAATAACCAAAATAGCAATAAATAGTCATAATAATATTATCACATTATGTATGTAGGGGACTAAATATGGAAAAACAATGGTTAAAATCGCTAACACTTATAAATATTTTCGGATAAAATTTTGAAAACTTAATAAAATTTGAAGTCCGAAAAATATTAATGTCCAGAAAATTATTTTCTGAACTGGAGTATTGTCACATAAATTTATTTGGAAACAGTTCAAGGTGCATAACTGAATACCATAACAATATTAATGTCATCATTAATTAATTATTAATAGCAATAAGTAACATTATAATCACTATTAACATTAATAATAATGACAAATCAAAGTATGGTAATGCACATTTTAATGTTTCCATTTTCCTGAAGATAAAATATGCGACTAGTCCAAATTAGCGGTTAACCGTAACGGTAGCACTAATTATCAATAACAAGCATAAAAGATAATTAATGACTAACCTTAATGATGCAAACTGCATCTGCCCATTGCGCTAACAATGATGACGATCCACAAGAGAAGAAAAGACTCCAGAATTCTCCCAATCTTCACTATCGGTGTCAATAAACTCGATGCAGCGTCGAATGGTACGTTAAAAAATTTATTGGTAGGACTTAATTACCAACATTAATATAATAGTCATGTAAAATGAAGTGGTAATCATGCCAATGTACCAAATATAGCAGATTACCATGAAATAATAATTATTATGGAAGGTAATAAAATGAAATTAGTCCCTAAACTTAATAACAGTAATTAATAATGCCAATTAATAATAACTACAATAAAGGCAAAACTGTAATTAAGGGATGCCAAATACTAATCTCAATTTACCACATAATAATTAACCATGACTATTATGATACTTAGGGAGACTGAAGTTAGGTAATAACCAAATTACCATTATATAGACAATATACCAACTATATTGCTTTTGCCATAAATTAAAGACTTAATATTATTATTAAGGCCCTGAAAACTATTGATAGATTAAAAATTTAATCAACTTAAACAATAGTTATATTTTTTAATGGCCAAAATAACAATTAAATCTTTAAATCCTTAATGTCTCAAAACAGGCTAAGACAATAATTATAGCACTTAATCACTCAAATTAGGCTCATAAACCTCAATGACCCAAGTGAATTATAACATGGATGGAAAATGGTCTAATACTGAAGTAGACCCAAAACTTAATATTATTACCAACGATGAATACCAAAATATGGTAGTTAGTAATTAGCAAAACTTAATAAACATGTTATAAGAAGCTATAATTAAAATATCAATCAAAATGGTGGGATCCATACTTTAATGACCCAAGATAGGTCCCAATAGCTACTCAACAGGCCATAATATCTAAAATTGGCCAAAGGATCTAAAATTGAATGATATTTAATAATGAATTTATGAATTAATAATATGCTATATCCAACATTAACGCATGCTTTTATAAATGTATAATTATAATAATAAAATAATTATTTAATAAATATACGTAGCATGCTAGGATTTGCATATTAATGTATTATTAATTCATATTTTCTTAATAAATTGCAATACTTTAGGCAATTTAGTATACACCTTAACATTAAATTAAAATTCGAACGGCAAATTAGAACTTAATATTTGCCCCAAATTGAATGATAATTTAATAATGAATTAAGGAAACTTAAATTGACAATTAATACGAAGTCTAAATATGATGATGAAAGAAACAATAAAAAAATAAAACTAAAGTAAGCCCAAGTCACCAAAGCAGGCCATTTTTTTATTTTTATTTTTATTTTTTTTTAATAAGGGTCCAGGTCTGGCCATCACTTGGGCCAGACCCGGCCCAGTCCATAATCCATCATCATCATCTTCATGCTTAATCAACCAGACGCCCTAGCAGCGGCTACCAGGAGCAGCGACTGAAAGTCGGAGCAGCGACTGAAACTCGGAGCAGCAACAAGATTCGCCTGAATGAGGAGAAACAGTGACGGCCGAAGCCACCGCCGTCTGATGGAGAGGAAGACAGCAGCGGCGAACCGGAAATCCAGCCACCTCCGCCGTCGTTCCTTGTTGCAGCGGCAACGTCCGCAACCGTCCTCCCCGCGACGCCACCGCCGCCTACAATTCCAAGTCGCTACGCTGTGTCTCTTCATCGCTGCACCAAAGCCACACTGTGCACCGTCGTTCCTCGCAACCGGAGTCCATAGCACCGGCGGCGTCCGAAACCAGTGGGAAAGCCTCGATTTTTCCTAGCCAAAACAAATCGGCGGCGGAAATAACACACCGGCGACCTTTCCTTAATGCCGGCGTGCAACGGATCGAGTAGCCAACTCATAGCCACAATGAAGGCAGGCGTGCGTGGGCAGATTCCAGATTCAATAATTTTGAAAAAAAAATCAAAATTATGCTTTAAAGTTAAAAAGCAATTTCAACCGTACAAAATCAATTACAAGCAATAACATGTTTAGTTATATCAAAACCAAATAGATATATCTCTACATGTATATCTTGAATATAAAAATTGAATGTAATTGAAAATCAAACCATATACAAAATCTTAATGTATATGAAATTAATGTTGATTTTTCTCAGGCAATACAATCAACCAGGCAGAGATTATAAAGGCTCTGATACCAAATGTTAGATATACAATAGTCTAACTATATGAACCATAGTATACGAGAAACCTGACCTCGTATGATAGCGGAAGCGTAGCCATGTAGATCTCCAGCCATAGTTGATGTTCCTGTTGTGTTGCCTCTTAACGGTAGACCGTCAGCCATGTTTTGCCTCAGACCTGACTCAGAACCCTAGATGGTGTATTGGTGTCTACTGAGCGGTCTGAGTACCGTAACTGAATGTGCTAACAACAACCATCCTGTATCCCATCAATACAGGATTATATTAGGCACAGAGTTTGGTTGACTAACAACTACTAGTTATTAAGTCTAACCACACCACTTAATAAGCCTAGTCAACTTGCACCACTTAATTAAGGCCCTAATATATAATATCAATATATATTATAAGGGAAAATCTTACACCTACTACTCACCTCCAACAAGAATCAAAACCCATCACTTTCCATATAAGGGAGCAACTTGATACCATTGGATCTGATCACAGGATATTTGGTCAATTCTAATATGATTTACACATACATTTAATTTTGTCTGAAATGGCTGCGCTGGAGTCCCGGAAAGAGCTGCCATACTTCCATCAATTTATATAAACGCGTACGCGGACTTCTAAATTCTAACCAATTGATTTGCAAGGATTTCCGTTCCAAGTCAAGCTTCATTTTCCACGACGTACATACCCATTATATATATATATATATATATATATATATATATATATATATATATATATATATATTTAATTACTTTTCCATCAATAAACGTGTGGAACAATCTAAACTAGAGCATTAATATATCAATTTCGTAATTTTGGACGTTTGCATTGTTGCATCATATCTTTATCTAACTAACAACATAAAGTAGCTCTCATATGCACTAAATTGCTCCTTATTTAAGAAACCTAAGGTTATAGAAGAATCCGTGTAGCCTCAGTCACAACACAGGAACTAATTATATTGATTCTATAGCTATGCTTAGTTTCTTTTAGCTTCTCAAATGGGGAAATGTTTATTATGGGTTGTGGTTTCGGTGATGGTTGTGTATACTTGGGGTTCTTTAGGATGTTTCGAGGAAGAGAGGATTGCACTATTACATCTAAAAACCCACATAACAAACAACACGTATGAAAGTTCTCTAGTTTCATGGGTTGATGATAAAAGAAGCGATTGTTGTAAATGGTCAAGGGTAACGTGTAGTAATATCATGAAAAGAGTGGTTGGGCTAGATCTCTATTCCGTAAGGGATGAAAGAGTTGGGAATTGGTATATCAATGCCACTGTGTTTCTCCCTTTCAAACAGCTCAACTCTTTATACTTGTCTGGAAATAACCTGGCTGGTGTAATTGAAAATGGAGGTAAGTCGTCTTTCTAAAACTCTTTAAAATTTGATTTATTAGGGTTAATTAATTAGTAGTATTTAAATACCACTAGCTACCAGAGAATCTATTTCATTATATTGATATTTAACAATAATATGTTAACAGGTTTTGATAAACTGTCAAAACTTCGCGATTTGAAAGTGCTTGGTTTGAGCTATAACAACTTGAATCGCAATATATTATCTTCTCTCAATCATCTTTCATCTCTCAAGCAACTTTATTTGGATGGGAATCCATTGGATTCACCTCTAAATAAATCGGGTATGCTTATTTAATCAGTCCACCTATGATGTCAAATAATGAGCTCAATATTCATTTCCTGTATGTTGTGTAATTCACATGATGAAATTATTATTATTTCATCTGATCTTATATGCACAATACAGGTCAAGAAAGGCTCTCAGGATTAAGCAATCTAGAGACCCTTAGCATGAGATCAACCAAGATGGAAGATAACAACGTCTTATCGGCTTTGAGTAAACTAATCTTTAATTTCAAAATATTATATATTTATGTTGTGTGTGTATGTAAGAATTTATCTTAATACATTGGGTTCTTTTGTTTTTATTTTATTTTTTTTCCATAAATATAATATGCATGCATGTGACCTCTAAACTTGTTAACAACCTCAGATTCTAAGTACCCTTTCTGGACAGATTTAAAAGACTTTATCAGCTTGAAGGATCTATGCATAAGCAGTAACAAATTTCAAAGCTTTGGACCAATTAAAGGTATTCGATATACACACATACATACATATTCCTAATTAATTACTTCTATATATATACATATATATGTGAGTCGGATAAATATTATTATTAACCATGACTCAAAAATTGAACTTTTTGTACAGACGGAGAAGAACCAAAGAAATTAGAGATGTTGTCTTTATCCTTCAACAGATTTAATAAGAGCATATTCCAATCACTTAAAAGGCTTCCTTCACTAAAGTATATATATCTGACTGAAAATGATATTCATGGGCGATTGCACATACATGGTACATCTCATATATAATAACAGTAATTGCATTGTTACATATTCTACCTCTTCAAATCTTTACAAACCTAACTATTTCTACAGACATATATTCCTTGAGTAATCTAGAGGCATTATATTTGGATCGCAATTATATTGAGGGCTTTGACACATTTGCAAGCCTTTCAGGTCTGTTGCTCTTATCTAATAAGTTTTTTTTTTTTTTTTTTTTTTTTTTTTAAAGGAATTCAATATACATATAGAAATAGGATCACATGTGGCAGTCTCTTCCCATGCGGATGTGCGGAGAGATTTGGACCATTGGATGATCTCATATATTTCAACGGTTGAAAAAAGGAAAATCAATGAAAATGAGAAAACAAAGTGGTGGCATTTTTATAATTTTCTACACCAAGTATATTTTTGTGGTGTACTTAAATTCTGGTCCTTGGTGCACTTAGTAGTGGTCTGTGGTGCACCACAAAATGTTAGTCTGTGGTGCACAAGGGAATGCTTGACAGTGCATTGGATTCAAAGCACCATCAAGCATATCTAAATGTACCACCAAACATATCTAAATGCACCACCATATATATATCAAAATGTCACCATGTTTTCCTGCTTTTTATTAATTTCCAGCCCTTGATCTTAGGTCATCAAATTGTCTATATCTTTCTGCATGTCTACATGGCCGGAAGCTGCCACACGAGAACCAAGACCTATATATATATTAGGATATTTTAATAAAAGAAAAATCATAAATTTATTACTAATATAATCCACAATTTTGTACAGATGGGGGAAGACTAACGAAATTGGAGACATTGGGTTTAGCAAACAATAGGCTTAACAATAATATATTCAAATCACTTAAAGGATTTTCTTCACTGAAGTTTCTGTATTTGATTGAAAATGATTTTCACGGACCACTGCAAATACAAGGTATATCGCATATAAACATCTGGTTGTTTAATTTCATTCAATATCAACCATCATTTCTTTGCCCCATCTAGAATGTCAATAATGCACTTATCAACTTGAATTGTTACAGATATAAATGGTTTGAACAATTTGGTGGACTTAGATTTGAGTTACAGTATTTTTGAGGATTTTGAGAATGCTACAAGTCCTTCAGGTAATCGAATTGATTTTATATAATTATTAAATGTGTCATTTTTCTTAAAATGTATCTTTAACTTAATCTTTTTACATTTTGTAATGTCAAATTAGGAGTATCAAGAGATATTAATAACAGCAGTCATCTCAAGTTGCACTTAAATAACATCACGTGTAACAACATGTCAAAGCTATTACAGCTCTTGACAACACTTTCTTCCGTTAAGAGCCTCAGTTTACGAAATAACAACATTACCAGCCTTGATGCAATTCATGGTGAGAAAAATGAGAGATCTAGACTCATCTAAATTATATTTTGTTCATATATATATATATTTTTTTTCTTTTCTCTAATCATCTTTAATTTTATGTGTATGTGGCATATGTAAGCATTGAGAAATATTAGCAACCTTGAAGAGTTGTTTCTTGACTACTCTTACCTACACAAAGACTTTCTTCAGAGTATTGGACCAATGAACTCGCTTAAAGTATTATCAGCTAGTGGAACACAATTAAGAGGCACTCTACCTAATAAAGGTATTTTTTTTTTTTTTTTTTTTGCATACTCATTTGTTTTGGGTAACCATACATGTACAGCCCTTAAAACTAGTTTTTTTTTTTTTTTTTTTGAAAGCCCCTTAAAACTAGTTAAATGCATATTGTTTCATTTAATTTCTATGACTTAAAACTTTTTCTCTAATTACATTACCGTGTACAGGTTGGTGTGAACTAAGGAAACTCGAAGAGCTCTGGTTTATGGAAAATCAGTTGGACGGAACACTTCCACCATGTTTGGGAAATTTAACATCTCTTTACCAGATTGACCTCTCTCAAAATAGGTTTATTGGAAAGCTCGGATCTTCATCTCCACTTTCGGCACTCATATCACTCAAATATCTTTTTATTTTGAGTAACTCCTTTGAAATCCCAACCTCATTCAGCATCTTTGCTAACCATACCAACCTTAGGGGCATTCGTGCTAATGGAAATAAGGCAATTACTGAAACCGAGTTGCAAAGTTGGGTTCCTAAGTTCCAACTAGATTTCTTTACTATGTCTAATTGCACTGGCTTTCAAAATTTGCCAACATTTCTTCACTACCAGCATGATTTAAGTGTCCTTGATATCTCTAGAAACAGTTTAGAGGGAGAATTTCCGAACTGGTTGCTACAAAACAACACAAACCTTTATTATGTTCTCATGAACTCCAATACTTTCACAGGAACCCTCGAGTTGTTGTCACATCTTAACACTGATTTGTCGATATTTGATGTTTCCAACAACAAGTTGAGTGGAAAAATTCCTAACAACTTAACTTCAACATTTTCACATATTGTGACATTGAACCTCTCCTACAACTTGTTTGAGGGTCAGATACCTTCCTATCTCGGCAACTCAAAAGAGTTATTGTTTCTTGACTTGTCAAACAATTCATTCACTGGGGAAATTCCTAAGGAGTTGTTGATAGGTGGTTCCTCATTGAAGATTTTAAAACTGTCAAACAATAAGTTGGAAGGAGAAATAGTCCAAGAATTTGGCTACTTATCCTCACTAGAGTGCTTCTATCTTGATGGTAATAATTTCACAGGCACCACATTGGATAGCCTTTCTAATATCCCCTTTCGCATTTTGGATATTAGTGACAACAAGTTTTCTGGAAATATTCCAAGATGGATGGGTCACATAACAAGTTTAGAACAACTCACTTTGTCCAAGAATCACCTTGAAGGTCCTATCCCTACTGAGTTTTGTAACCTAGAAAACCTCTCTATTCTAGACTTATCAGAGAACAACTTAACAGGGTCGATTCCATCTTGTCTCAATCCATTGTCCATAAAACATGTTCGCCTCAGTAAAAACCAACTCTCTGGTCAACTCACCCGTGCATTTTTTAAAAGCACTACCTTGGTGATATTTGATCTTAGTCATAATGATTTCGTTGGAACAATTCCAGAATGGATAGACAATTTCTCTGGGTTGAGCATTCTTCAATTTCTCTGGGTTGAGCATTCTTCTCCTCAATGGAAATCGTTTTGAAGGTGAAATTCCAATTCAAATATGTCAACTCATGAGATTAAGTGTGTTGGATTTATCTAATAACATACTAAGTAGTATGATCCCCCATTGCCTGGGTAAGATGAGTCTTGAGGTAACTAATGAAAAATCCACAGCAATCAATTTTCCACTTACCACCTTCGGCGTTGGGATTCCATATGATACGCCATTCTCAACAAATGACGATCCTCCTAAGGTGGAATTCAGAACAAAGGGAAATTTATATTACTATGCAGGCAACAACCTCAGATTAATGTCTGGAATTGATCTTTCTGCTAATAGATTAATCGGTGAAATTCCATTTGAGTTGGGAAACTTGACTGAGATACATGCATTGAACTTGTCACACAACAATCTTAATGGCACAATCCCAGAAACATTCTCAAAGTTAGACAATATTGAGAGCTTGGATCTTTCACACAATATGTTGAGTGGAAAAATTCCTAACACGTTGCTCAAGCTTAAATGGTTGGAGGTATTTAGTGTTGCATACAACAATTTAACAGGTGCTATACCAGAGCCAAAAGCTCAATTTGCAACCTTTAACGAAAGCAGTTACGAGGGCAATCCTTATCTTTGTGGGCCACCATTACAAGTCAATTGTAGCAGGACAGAGCAACCATCCTCTCCATTTCCATTACTGTTTAACACTGACACTGATTGTGCGAGTGAAGAAAGTAATAATGTTGATATGGACGTCTTCTACATTAGTTTTGGTGTATCTTATGTTGTGTTTTTGTTGGGTACAATAGTGGTGTTATATATAAATCCTTATTGGAGGGACTCATTGTTTCAACTTATTAAGGTCCATGTATGTAAGTGGTTATGTCAAGTCATATATTAAATATTCATAGTCCTGTATTTAGTTTGATTAAATGTGTTGTGAACATGTAAATTTAATCTTTATAATAGTTAATAGATGCGGTCATTTTCGAAGACCGTTTCCATTGGGTTGTTCAAATAATTAATTATCCAGATGGCATTCCAACTCATGACCTTTGTCGTGGGATTGACTCTGATACTAAATTAAAACATGCATGATTCTATTCTAATTAAAATAGTAAACTGATAGTTGGACTGTATATTTATGTTTAAACTAATTTTACACATGCATTGTGCGAATGAGTTAATGCCCAATGTTATATTTAAATAAATATTTGAAAGTATATATATATGAGAAGTTCATACATAGATAATTGAATGTCGAATTTGTTTATTTAAATATGTAACTCAAAGTATATGAATGCAAGATAGTAGATGAAATTCATTATAATTGTCATTAAAATAAATGTTTGCAACTTTGTAAAATCGATAGTCTAAATACTTGGTCTAAAAACGATAGTCTAAATAAATACTACTTTTAGTTTGAATTTTTTAAAGTATTCTTAATTTTCTTTTGAGTAACACTGTCAATGTCATTGTCTTCATCTTCACTATTTGCCCTCTGACTTTTTGTTGGCAGTGTGTTATTTGCAATTGGGTTACTGTTGGTAGCATAGATGACAACGTCATGCAATGAGATTATGGTGTAGGAAGCTGTGAATTTTCCTTGTTGTGTATATGACTTGGATCTTAGTTGTACTATGAACTCTTGATCTTGCAAGCGTCTGTTGATATTTTGCCGTGGTAGTTTGTTCCCCTACATGTTTCATGTGAAAGAATTGAATAAAATATTAATATTTATTATATTTGTATAAGGTTCATGAGTAGTATCTCTTGTTCTATTTTCTTAACTTATTTACTTGATAGTAACGACAATGACTCTGCACATAGTTCGATTATTGATGCTGCAACGTGTCTAGTTTCATCACTAATTTCCACATCCATTTTTAACATGTTCATTTTCAAATTTATATTTTTAGAATTAGTAGGAATAAGTGTAGTACTTGATTTTGTGTGTGTACGTGTGTGTGTTTGTTTATTTTTTTTTGAATTGATATTAACCTTCGAGTTAAATTATTTTCAACTTTGTGCATAAGTTTTTTTTTAATAGTGACTACATCCTATATACCAAGTATTTTTGTTGTGAAGGTTGATATGGTGTTGATTTTGCCTGCAATCTAAGCAGGTTGTTGATCTAGAAGATGAAATTAATTGTAAATTTATATTAGTTCTAATATATTTAATGAATGCACAATAAGTATTTTACATACATGATAAATGAATAAATCAATGGTGGCTATTTTGAAATTTCTTCATTTTCTAGGTTTGCCAAATTGATTGCAGCATTGTTGTAGCCTCGTCATCTTTTCAGTGCATCAAGTGTGTTACGATGTTCTATTGCCCTACATTGACAATTTTAATAATGAGTGTAAGTGTAAAAATGTTACACTTTAAACCCACTTATAATTGGCTCAAATTAGTTGTCTAATTAAGTGTTCTCTTTCTGGATCAAGTCTAGTGACTGGGTCAGTAGAGTCTGGATCAGCGCCAGGAAGTAGGTCAGAAAATGTGAAGCTCATTCAACATTTCATTAAAGTCAAGACCCTACTTACACGGTATTTTAAATCAAGAGGAGCAGCATAAAGTGAGGAATTAAGATCTGTATGATTTCGGATCAAGGAAGCCTTTACAACATCTCTATAAAATGCTACTTTGTTTAGCATTTTATTTTTCACTTTGACAAGACTATTTACTCTGGTTATTACTTATATTATTCTGGTTATTGGCTTAATATTTACGGGTGAAGAAAGTTTCACAACGGGTTCATGTTGCGGAGAAGATAGCCTGCACGTCAAGTCCACTGAGTTGCTGGAGTAGGTTCTGGAGTAGTTGTAGTTTATACTTTAGAGTGTAATGTACTCTATTATTGTACTCTTGTTGTTCATCTACTGGATTTGGGTTGACGTGAGTGGCCCTGTAGATGTAGGAGTGAGGCTCCGAACTGCATGAACATTTCCTGGTGCACGGTTCCATTTATTGCTTTTATATTTAGTTTCTTTATTCTGTCTGGAGTAGATCCTGGAGCTAGTCTAGCTTATAATTGAGTTAAAACTTAGTAAGAACTAGAAACCTTTAGGTTATCTCTTACATTCAAGATCCACGAGCTTTTTCAGTTGGTATTAGAGCCTAGGGACTTAATTTATTAGTCTAGGTATCCACGTCCCACATTTCGTCATGAATAGTCGAGCGATAGCCTGCATCCTGACTTTCCAATCATCAAATAAATTTAGAGAGATTAAAAGCAAGAGGCCTAGAACGGTTAGCATGATATCTTTCCATTTTTTTAAGAAAATACGTGCAAAGACGAAAAAGCAGTTTAACCTAAATAGATTTTGCAAAAGAGATCTACCAGGCAGTAAAGCAAAACGTTTACCGTACTAGGTAACCGCTCTGATACCACTTGTTGGTCTCGGTAGAGTCTAAAGAGAGTCTAGAGGGGCATGGGGTGAATAGACTCTAATCGATTTTTCAAAGCTGCTCATTTCGGAGCGATGCACAGCGGAATTAAGGTTTCGTCTTAGATATGCTTTGCACTTTTTCGTTAGAACTTTTAGCGTTTGGTCAATATGATATGCAGTGCACGAAAGCAATAAAGTAGTAAATAAAGAGATATGGAAAGAGAAATTTTATAGTGGTTCAGCTGTTAACGAAGCCTACTCCACTCTTCTTTCACAACTCGTGAAAGAGTTTGCACTATCACTCCTAGTACAAACTACTTCAAGCTGACTTCCTTGATCACTAAGCCGGACAGACAACCACTTGATAAGTTTTTCAACTCATTGAGTTTACTCCGCCTCTATCAACTTCTTCGTAAGTTGAGATGTTGGAAAGATAATCTGGTGTTTCTCCAACATGTTGAAGCCTTGTCTTGATATCTGGATGAATATGCACTTGAAAATATGCAAGACTTCTTCAAATTGTGAAGTGTGAAAATGGATGAGCCCTTTTAAAAACTTCACAAAATCACAGGTTATGAAAAGCTTTGAGAGATGAAAACTGTTTGAAGAGCTTTTCTATGAATAGCAAGAGTAGAATAACCAACACCTTCTTCAATGGTGAAGAGAGGTATTTATAGGTGGAAAAAATCATCCGTTGGAGGGTGATGAAGATTTCAAACTTAAAATCCAACGTGTATTAACCAGTGGGCAACAAGCATTTAATTAATGCACTTGTACTGTGTAGCCGTTGGAGCCAAAAGCATTATAGCTTTTGTCCGTGTTCTCTGACAAAATGGTACAAGCCTTTTAATGCTCCTTGTCTTTTGTGAAAGTCATTCCTAGGACACCTTTTGTCCGAATGATTGCCCATTCATGAGACAACATTCTTCTTGCTTCACTTTAAATGAGAGTTGTCTTTACAAGTTTTTCCGAAACTTGTTTTCTCGGAGAAGATCTTAGAAAGATTGTCCTTATCTTTCGACTTATGATGAGGGATCCATTTTGTCGAAAGATGTCTATCCAAGAGTTGCTCAATCCATCTTTCGTCTTCAATCATCTTTCGATCATCTTGTTATCTTCATATTTTCAAGTAGACCTATTATGCTAGTCTCAACTAAAATTCGTACACCTGATAGTGTGAATCAATCGTTGAGTTACAATAGCTTTCACTTATCAATCGTTGAGTTACAAGTATAATTTGCAAAATATTCTTTAAGGAAAACACCAGAAAACAAACAGAAGGGTATCCGTTTCAGCCTGAATTAATAGTTTAATACTACACAAGAATCCAAATGGGTAGCAACATATATAGTGAGCTTGAGTTGGGTATTGCCGCCCACCATCTGCCACTACATATAACATATATGTTAGATTCTGAATTTAAATAACTAAATTTTGATATTATTAGCTAGCTACTATGTACATAAATTTATTGAATTTCCTTTGGATCACTTAAGAGAGGAGATACAAGTTATTGAAATTAGTTCCATGACCGGCCGTAACAATTTGTGTTTGTTCTCACGCACGGAGTCTTGGGAAAGCTACTTAACAGATTTAGTTAGGGAAAATTGTAATTTATGTCTCTCTATAATATGTCAATTA